GTCTCAACCCACTAAATAATGGGTATTTATGAAAAAAGATTTGCAGTCAGCTAACAATCGATTGTTTACCCGCCATCGGTTGTTAACTACTGATCATGCAGATGTTTTTTTTTTTTTTTTGTTCATGTTTAAAAAATTATAGATATGTTAAAAAAATTATCTACATGTTAATCTATATCGAAATAAGATTTACCGATTAAAACGTATGCTAATTTAATGAAAACGAAATTAAACTTACGTAAATATATTTATCGATTTGAATTGATTGATATAAAAAAATATTTTTTTGTTCACCGTTCGAAAAATTTCTGAGATTTTGAGATCAAAGAAAATGGAAGATAAGAGAACTTTTTCTGTGTTGAAATAAATAGATAATAAAAGTTAGCAGATTTTGAAATTTTAAGTGTGAAGTGTTTGATTTTCACTTGTTAACTAAAATGTTAGTATTATCTTTTAAGCAAAACGATACTTTGTAACTGTGTAATATACACAAGGGCATTTTTATCTTTTATCATATAAAAAGCTATTGTGAAAATATGAAATAGTTGAAAAGTCAAAGTGAAAAATATAAGGTTTGACCAGATTATTTTTATAAATACCCTTTTTCATTAAAGATTTAAGCACACGATTTCAAAGATTTTTCAAATGGATTAAATCTACAAATGGTCACTTGACTTTACACTTAGTGATACTATAGCCACCCAATGTTACTTAGAGTCAATTTCATTTAACACTTCACCGTAGTCACCCAACTTTTTTTTTCACTATTTCCGTTAATTTTAAAACTAGCAAAAATGATAACTTTGCATTATATATATGAAATAAATTTTTAAAAAATAAATTTTTATTTTAAAAATAATTTTTAATTTTATTTTACATTTCTAAATAATATTTTAAAATAAGTTTTTATTTTATTTTTTTAAATTCATGTTATATATAATGCAAAATTACTATTTTACCTTTTTAAAATTAGTGAAAATGGTGAAAAGAAGTTGGATGACCATTGTCAAACATTATATGAAATTGAGTTGTTATGGTAAAATAAAATTAAATAGGATGGCCATGATGATACTAAGGGTCCGTTTGATTGTAAAGATAGAATTTGGATGGAAAGAAAACGAATTCTAGAGAATTGAATTGCTTAGTTTTTGTTTTATTGAGAATTGTCAATTATTGTGTTTCATTGGTATAATTTTTTACTTGAAAAATGTTAAAATTAAAATATTTTTTGATGTTCGCTTGACTTTGTTTTATATGAAAATTGTCAATTAAAGGGATAGAATTTACTGATATTGGGGATAGAATTTGTTTCCATTGCAAAAAAAAAAAAGTCAAGAAAATCATATATCTTTTGGTATTCATTTGTCTTTTTTATATGAAAATTGTCAATTAAAGGAAAATATTTTTTTACAATTAGGGATATATTTTGTTTCCATTGCCCAAAAAATAGAAAAAAAGGCAGTATAGGTGGGAATTGGTTTTCCTTAAGAACTAAGAAAATGTCCATGTAGCAAGAAAACCAAGAAAACAAATTCTATGAAAAAATTGCCATCAAACATTGCAAAATTGGGAAAGTGAAATTTATTTTTTTCCATGGAAATCATGGCCTATCATACATGACCTAAGTATAAAGTTGAGTGATCAAGATAAAACAAAAATAAATTGAGTAGCCATGACAACACTAAATTAAAATCAAATGGCCATGGATGGATTTAACCCATTTTCAAATGGAAAATTTCAGAAACCATATTTTAACTATGCACAATTAAAAAAAAAAAAAGGTGTTAAGCTTAATTATGCAAAAATCAGGTTTTTATCTAATTAATTAGAAACATTTATTAAATAAATATAATAATAAATGATCACGGATTTATAATTATAGGTCATAGATTTATTTACTGGTCATATATCATCAAATTAATTGGTTATAGATTATTTCGAGATCGCAAAACAAAAATTATGTATGTTACAGATAAAAATTTTTATAGGCCATAATTTATTTAATTGGTCACATATTAAAAAATTATAGGTCACAATTTATCTATCGATTACATATTTTCAAATTTATTGGTGACAAATTATCTAATTTTAAGGTCACAATTAAATAGTTGGTCATGGGTAACCAAACAATTAATCAGAAGTCAAATAGTCGGTCATCACCAATTCCACTACCACCACCGCCACTCGCAACCACCATCAACTCGTCACTAACATTACCACCGCAACAGCACCATCACCAAAACCAACACCACGAAATCACCACCAACAAAATTGCCATTACGAAATCCACCTCTACCACCACCAGAAATCTCCACCAAACAAACCAACAATATCTAACCTGCAACCTCATCACGGTCTCTAGTGCCAAAACGACCACTACCGAAAACCACCACAGCCACCAGGACTATACCTACCGCCAACAACATTATTGCCACCGTTAGGGCCACCACTATTGCCAAAGCCACTACACACTAGCAAGGCCACCACCATCGCACTCATAGCACACACGCCCACCACCACTGCATCCACCGCTACTCAAAAAACCCAAAAAACCCCACTAAACACACACAAAGCCACCGTCAAGACCACCACCACCGTACCCCCGACACATATACCCACCACCACCATTCAAAAAAACCCAACAAACCCTACTGCTCGTCGATGGAGATTCACAGCACACCCACTCCAACGATCTTCACTAGCTCCACCTTCATGGCACACCCACTCCGGCAAATCATCTCTGCACAGAAGTGACACTCCTCTGTACTAGGCACCACAACTTAGTGTAGCATAGAACATCAGCGACAGTCCTTCCCAGTGGCGATTCTCTCGGTTGCATCGGCGAGGCGACAGATCCCACAAAGTGATTCTCTCGGTTGCAGCGACAAGCTGATGTAGCTGTCGTCCTTGGCTATATGATAGATCACGCACAGTGATTCTCTTGGTTGTAGCGGCGAGGTGATGCCACTATCGGTGTCTCCAGTGGCTGACGTTCTTTAATGGCCACACCTCCGATGCCGTACCTCAATGCCAACGGTGCCATGTCGCAGAAAAATCGCGTGTTGTTAGGGAAAACATACAGTATAGAGAGGGGAAATGTTGAGAAATAAAGGGGAAATAGATCTAGAGTTTGGAGTGTATGAGGTGTGGTGGTTTAATTATAATACCCGATTTTTGATTAATTAAACTTTGCACCTGATTTTTTAAACGTGGTCTTTAAACATTTAATTTCCACTTTTCAAATAGGTTAAGGTGAAGTAACTGGGCCTAAGTTCGACTCCCTAAATTTGGGCTAAATAGAAAAATGGTCCAAATGATTACAGTTACATGATCTAACGTAACGGTTAACTAAAAGTCTCCAACTAATCCCAACCGTTCGATTTCCTCAAGAAATATCAATCCAAACGACTCAAACAGTGAAAATAATGAAAAAAGCCGGACCCCACAGTAAAGTTACAAACAGTTGATTTCAATATCATATCCATTTAGAGGATTAAAAATTGGGTAATTGGTACAAAACGTCCCCACCTTTCAAGTCCATTGTGGAAAACATCATCACATTTTATTTTTTGCCCTCTTTTCAACTTTCCTTTGCGCTGAACGTTCTTTCACCAATTGTTGACTTAAAATGACCAAAATACCCTTTCTATTTATACAAAATAAAAAAGAAAAAAAAACTACAAATTGCACCTATATGCCCAAATTTTTAAAAACTACAAATCAGTCTAAATTTCAAACAAACCGTCACCTTCTTCCGTCAGAGCTCCCGCCCATTCCACCACCAGCCTCAACCTCAACAGCCACCACTCAACAAACACCGGAGCCTAAATCACTGATATCACCACCAGACATATGATTCTTCTTCTACTTTTTTTGTTCGGGTTCCAATCCTGCTAAGCCATCATCGTCTTCTCCTCCTCTTGCTTTGATGATTCCACCTCCATTAACAATCTTCTTCCTCTCTACTACTGCTATACAAATCACGTGGATTTATACAGTAGCTTAATTTCAACTCAATAAATGACAAGACTACTGCAACAGTGTTCAAAAATTTGAGGAACTCTCCTTATAAACACTAGGCAGACTCTAAGCAAAATAATAAAAGCTATCAACAACCTATATAAATTCCGCTAAAGAATCGAACAAACTAACAGGAATTCAATTCTTTTTGTTAAAATTGAATAGTTCATAGGATTCTAGGGGCCATGTAGGTGATTAAGCAACAGATCCCATTAAATTATACTGCCATATTTTCTTAAAAAATTACGAGTTTTCTTTTTTTTTTTGCCATGTCCAGGGAAAACCGGGGAGGACTCATATGCTCATTGGATGCGCAATGAGGAGTAGGTACCAGAGGTGGTGGTCCGCAATCATGGTCCCACCACCGATGCCGAAAATTTGCCTGGAAGCTGTGCGTAACGTCTATGTTTGAAGTTGCAGGTTGTTTGGTTTGATTTTTTGCACTAGAGGCCATGGACATGGATGTCTTGGTGTGTAGATTTGAATGGAATGTTGGGAATGGCATGGGTCAACGGTTGGGTGTGGCTATTGAGGTTGAGGTCGGTGGTGGAGTAGGCGGGAGCTCCGGTGGAAGAAGGTGACGGTTTGTCTGAAATTTGGAGTCTTGGACTATTTGTAGTTTTTAAAAATTTCGGCCTATAGGTGCAATTTTTTTCTTTTTCTTTTTTTGTTTTGTATAGATAGGAGGGTATTTTATTCATTTTAAGTCAAAAATTGATAAAAATGACGTTCAACGCAAAGAAAGATTAAAATGAGGACAAAAATATCAAGAAATGAAAGGTGATGACGTTTTGTACCAATTATTCTTAAAAATTAGATTTTCAATATATTTTGATTAAAGCTTGTGAAATATGCAAATGAAAAGTTCTAGAATTCATGAAAGAAGTGATTAATATTGATGTTTAATTTTAATTTAATTTAAATCAATACCGAACGAAAGGTCTATCTTGCTACGTTTTCGTTCATATATACCCAACGTCAATACCCAACAAAATATCTACTACTCAGAAAGAAAAAGAAGAGAGAGAAAATAATTAGGGTTTCAAAAGAATGGCTGATGAGAGTGATAACGGCGGCGGTGTGAAAACGGGTATCGTTAAGTGGTTCAATGATCAAAAAGGATTTGGATTCATCACTCCTGATGATGGTAGCGAGGATCTGTTCGTTCACCAGTCTGCGGTTAAAACTGAGGGATTCCGAAGCCTCGGTGACGGTGAGAATGTCGAGTTCGAAGTTGAGTACAGCAGCGATGGCCGGGCTAAGGCCGCCAACGTGACTGGACCTGGTGGCGCCCCTGTTCAAGGAAGCACCAGAGGTTATGGTGGAGGCGGCGGTGGCAGTGGCGGAGGCGGAGGAGGAGGAAGGGGCCGAAGGGATGGAGGTGGTGGTGGGTATGGGTATAACGGAGGTGGTGGTGGTGGTTACGGGTACAACGAAGGCGGAGGAAGCCGTGGGGGAAGCCGATACGGTGGCGGTGGAGGCTACGGTGGCGGTGGAGGCTACGGCGGAGGAGGAGGAGGTGGTGGTGGTGGTGGTAGTGGCTGTTTTAAATGTGGTGAATCTGGGCATATGGCTAGGGAATGTCCTCAGGGAGGCGGTGGAGGAGGCGGCGGAAGATATGGATCTGGCGGTGGTGTAGGCGGCGGAGGAAGCTGCTACAACTGCGGTGAAGGTGGTCACTTTGCCCGTGAATGCCCCAATTCGAACCGTTGAACCACTGGGTTTCTCCATTATCTCTATTCCGCTTTTGAGTCAAGTACTATGGTCTTTAGGCTTATGAACTGGTGATCCATGTAATAATTGCTTTGTTTTTGTTCTGGTTTTTGGGATCTTCTAATTATATGGTCACCTTCTCTATCTACCATTTAGGTTAGGGTTTTAATTTTAATTTTAATTTTAATTTTCTGCACTGTTTGTCCCATAATCGCGTCGGCTTTATGTCTGTTTTTTTTTTTCCCCGTAAAATGTATACATGTGTATGCCTATACATGTTACTATTTTAATGAATGAACTATTGTCGATTACTTTGATAGCTGTCGTATTCTTGGAATTGATTTGATTAATTGTTCTCATCTTTTTACCTTTCTTTTCATAAAGGTTGGCATTGGATTGGTACATATTTGACACCAATCAATCCATCCAACGGTGGAAAATATTTGTATGATTTGCTTCACAATCTTGTTTGACCTCTGAATAGTATTTTGACCTGTTAAATATTAAACCCAAATCCCAAACTTTTTTTTTTAACTCACACATTTCACGTCATTATACTATTGATTTTTGACAAAAATTGGGCTCAAACAAAACATTCAAGAATTATGTGGATGAGGAGCTTTGAACATAAATCTATTGTTTTGGAGGACTTTGAGCACTAGAGTCCAAATGCATAAAATTTTTAAACTGAAATTCTCTTTTAAAAATATTCGAGGTTGTCTTTTGTTTGAATTTCAACGAGGGTACATCGAAAGAATGCATAGAAATCAAAAGATGCCGGACAACAATTGATATCTGACCTTCTGGAATTGGGTACCTTTGTTTAATGGGTAGAGCTCAAGAATCGAACATGCCTTGTCAGCCTCAATTAAGCTTCTTGTATAGAATTATAAATCACAAAAAGCATTTACATAGGTGGTAACATTGCAATGAATGCTTGCTATCTGTGTACCTATAATGCTATATGTACATTTCTTTTGTACATGTAAAAAGATAAAAGAACATACGGGTGCAAGTGGAAACTATTCTCTCGTTTCTCATTGTGAATAATGACAGAGTCAAAGTCTATTAAGAATATTTTTCAAAGGAATATTTGGTTCTTTCAAGTGCGAGTTAATTGTCTCAATAATCATTAAATTTATGTTAATGTTTTCGATTGCTCACTAAAATTTAAAATATCGAAATTTGGTCATTAGATTTATCCAAATGTCGGACGTTACTCATTAGCTTAACTTTCGTTTATACCCTCTAAAGGAAGTGTGATGTGATTGACGGAATGTTCAGGTGTCGCTATATCACCGTTACCATGTAAAAAAAGTCTTTCATTGCTTATTATGTTTTAGAAAATGTCTTAAATTGTTCGCTACACTTTAGAAAACGTTTCCGATTGCTAACTGAACTTTGAAGTGATCAAATTTTGGTCACTAAAGTTATGAAAATGAAATTGGCCAAAATTCAATCATATTAAAAGTTTAGTGAGCAATAGAAGATATCTTTTAAACTAAAATTCTCTCTCTCTCTCTCGATAACTCAGGCGTCCAAGCTACATCTGACTAATGATGAGGAGTGGCGGCCTCCCCCTGGTTCGTCACCCAGGTAAATTCAAAAGCGGAATTGGGCCCTAATCTTTTGGAACTAGGTACCTTTGACTAATGGGTAGATCTAAAAAATTGCAACTATTCTCTTGTTTCCCAACGTGAATAATGACCGTTCAAAATCTATTAAGCCCTTGTCCGATGGCCATTTTTTGAAAAAATATTGTGTCGAATAGAGAAATCTTGGAGAATATATAGTTAAAAAGTAGACTTTTTTTTTTTTTGAATTTATGTGTGGAATATTTTATTATATGAATGTATAATTGAAAATGAATATATAGAAAAAAAGAGTTGAAAGAATGGAAGACAAATAGGAGTTAACAATATTATTCATTGGAATATTTAGTGCTTTCAAGTGCTTAGTTTATCTCCGTTAAGTGGGGATAATAATAAGGTCCATGAGATTTGCTGTTCAATTTATTTTCCACCTAATTTGTTAAAATGAAAAATTAAAATTGATGGTATGTTAATTTAAAATGATGTATCAATAATTAATTTAGTGAATAGCAAAAATTGAATAGCAAATTTCAACTCAAAAATATGATCTTTCTATTGGAAGAGGCTTTCAGTAAAAGCCTTCATAGGTTAGTTTTACGGAGAAGTTTTTCTAGTTTGACAAACATTTTTGAAAAATTATTCAAAAAGATCAAAAGTAGTTTGTTAGCTTATAAATAATTTTTCAAAAGCATTGTCAAATATGCTTGAAGTGAATTAGTAAGTTGTTGAAGCTTTGCAATACATGCTATTACTTTATTGATTCCTCGTTTATCAAGTTAACATTGAATGAATGGCAAATTTACTTGTATGAGCTATGTTAATGACAACTTGACAGTAATTGAACTATTACATGGAACACCGATCATCAACTATGATAATAAATGTCATTATTCTTGACTCTATTGTTCTATCATTGCTTATTTTCTCGAATAACTCATAAACAGAATACTCCAAATTTGTCTCGAATTTGGTTGTTAATATCAGTTCAATAATGATAAATAGGTCAAGGACGATGGGGATGTGTGAGATTGATTGTCAGTAGAGGAGGTAGAGGTGCGGTGGTGGTGATGTTGGCAATTGAGGACACTAATAGCACCCACTTACTGATCAGTCCAAATGTATCAATCTGGTGCACGAAGTTTACCATGCACCCCCATCCACCAAATCCGAACCCAACTATTAGCACCCACACAAAAATAAAGATGTTGAATATGCAAGTCCCAACCCATCTCCCAAAGTATTTGGATGGTTTATTCACAGCATTCTGCATCAACACATACAATCAAATGGTTAGCATATTGCATAGTTGTTGACAAAACACACAAATCAGTTTTCATTGTTATATATACCCAAAATATAAAGCATGAACAGTACTCTAATTAGACCGAGAATCGCCTAATAAAAATAGTAGTATTCTACAATGATAACCTCGTCCTTGTGCACCATATGTAAGATCATGTACTATATTCTTGTAAAGCAAGGACAGTACATAGGATTCCAGCCTTCTCACCCCATTCCCACAAAAAAGGCCAACAGAAAAGTATTGGTGACCTATTCTTTTTTGGAGGATTCCTACCGACCCTCAAAAGATAAATAAATAAATTAAAATCTTGTCAATTATACTGTCAAGTAGTGTCTAATGTTTTGTATTAAACTCAAGCAATGAGAAGTGAATGTATGAAAAACTTGTTGCTCAAATATGATAACAATGAATAACATATAAGAGCTTGGGATACCTCTCTGACATGGGCAGTTCGAAAGGTGAAAATGTGAGCCAAAGCCATGATAATGTAGATGGTGAAGCTAACAAGAAGATGGTGAAGCTAACAAGAAGTGATCGACAGTCGAGTTGCTAGGACCAAAGAATGGAAAGACAATTGCCAAGAACCATATAGGTATAACTACCGGCAACCTTGCAGCTGTCCGCTTGCTCAATCTCTTACACTCACGCATCCCTTTACCACATGAAATACAAGAGAGTGCATGCAAATCCAAAAGTTGTAAAGTGCAAAAAATCAGCAACCATGTATTTTAGTACACGTTCAAGAATCAAGTAACTCGATAAGATTAGTTTCTAGCATTCTAATCAGATTTTGGATATCAAAACATGCTAGGCGGTTCCATGAGCCAGCCAGGGCAGGGACACCAAAAAAATTGGCCAACACGACGCGTTTTACTCTTCTAACAAAGTAACAATTGAGAATTGCCTGATGGATGATCATCAAAATAACAGCCATGTCCCTGAAGGGTGATCTTGTAGAGTTTAAACACCAAAAGAAAGTAATTTTTATTGATAAAATACACTTTTACACTGTTTTGAACACACTTTGATTATATGAAGACACTCCTTACTAACACACTACCTCACTATGTGTCTCTTTCTTTACTTATTCTATTTGCTCTCGCTCTCTTCACACTTTTCACCATACACCATCCCCTATTTATAGAGGTAAGTTGGCGGTGACAATTCTTCTACACAAAAGTTGATGCTTCTAGATAATTCTATTAATTGATTCTAAGTCATTTTTCTATAGAAATCTAAAATGGTGATGGACAATATCTTCAATGTATTCTCTAGATTTTTCTATGGTTGAGAAGGGATAATAAAGTTGGTAAATCCTAGATGAATCTAGAAAATTTGTGCCAAAGTCGGTGATGATTTCTTCAATTCTCCCTTTTAGCATCGATTTTTTTATTTTAACCTTTTTCTTCTTCTTCTCATCTAGTCGTGTCTGAAGTTTGATGACTTTTGAAGCGTTTGATCCTTTATTCAACACAATTGTGACTTTAAATTTGTTTAGCTTTTTCGCACTCTCGTCTTCTTCGAAAGTTGCATACTTGGTACTTGCTTTCTCACGTCCACCAGACTTTCTTATTTGTGGTTGTAAATTTCTACGTACCTTAATATCTTGTTGACTCTTTTGATCCTCCGTACTCCATGTTACTCTAATAAACTCTTCTTTATTACTTAGTATTCGTAAATCTTTAGTTTCTCCAGGGTTTTGTTGTGCTTCCGTGATTTCCTCTTGCAATTTGTTATCTATTTTCTTTAAATTTAGCAGATCCACCCTCTTCGGTGTCTGCTCCACCATCTGCGGTGTCTGATCTAGCAGATCTACCCTATGCGGTGTTTGCATTTCTTCGAAAACATCTTTCAATTCTAATAGTTCCTCCCTCTGTGGAGTCCACCTTCAAGACTTGTGAAACACGATGTCCTCTTCTAAATCAATCCAATCATCTTCGCAATCTAACTGTTCAGGCAAGACCACCACTGACGCTGATTCATCTTTTAAATTTGTATTAAATTTTTTTCTCAAACCTACTCAATTGTTGCTATAGTTGCATCACATTCTTCTTCGCTAGCGTACTTCCCTTTTTCATTGGACGTTGTTATATTGCCTTCTATTGATTCCTTTTTAAACCAACAGTCTCTAGCATAATGAGCTCGTTTGCTGCATACAAAGCACACACCATTAGTTTGTCGATATCTTTGACCTCTCCTGTCACAATTCTGCTGAGCTCCCCTTGTATGATAACCTACTTTGATCCATTTTTCAAATTTACCTTCTTTTAATTCTTTATTATTCTGTTAATGGGGTCGACCTCTTCTTTTATAACTATATAATGCTCCTTCCTCTTCTTTCTTTAGTGAGACCCCTAACATTTGTCTGGTTAATGCTTCTTGGTGGGTCAACAAATTTTCTAGATTAACTAATGAAAGTTGCTCGGGCCAACTTTGTATTGCAGCGATAAAACTTTTAAATTCGGGTCTCAATCCATGTATAATTATTCTTCTCATTCGAATTCCGAAATTTTACTTGAAGCGTCTAACTCAGAAATTTCATGACAAAAACATTTAACTTTAGTAAAATATTGACTTACTATTAATTCCCCTTGAGTAATCGAGAGCAGCTCGTTTTCCAACAATTGCAATCTTAGGTCATTTTTCTTTAAGAATAGTGAGGCTAAAGTGTCCCATGTATCATTTGGTTTAATCTTGTCTCTTATATGCTCCAACAACTCTTTTTCAATTGTTGTCTTTATAACAAACAAAGCCTTACTAGCTTTGATTCTCCACTTCTTCAGAGCTTTGGCCTCATTGGCGGTGTCACGTTACTTCCGTCAACTACTTCCCACAGGTCTTGACCTTGGAGATACGACTCCATGCTAGTTTGCCAAGTGGTGTAATTATGATTATTGAGCTTCTTTACACCGTTTACCACTTGTAGGTTGTTCATCGTGACTTGATTTACCTCCTCGTAATCAAGCAAGCTTTATAAACGCTTCACAAACTCCTTTTGTGTACGAACTCTAGAAGCTCAAAAAATCCTTTCTCGACCATTTTGCTCTGATACCAATTTGTAGAGTTTAAACACCCAAAAAAAGTAATTTTTATTGATAAAATACAATTTTACACTCTTTTGGACATACTTTGATTATAGGAAATACTTCTTACTAACACACTATCTCACTATGTCTCTCTTTCTCTACTTATTCTATTTGCTCTCACTCTCTTCACACTTTTCACAATAAACCATCCCTTATTTATAGAGGTAAGTTGGTGGTGACAATTCTTCTACACAAAAGTTGACGATTATAGATTATTCCATTAATTGATTCTAAGTCATTTTCCTAAAGAAATCTAGAATAGTGATGGGCAATATCTTCAATATATTCTCTAGATTTTTCGATGGTTGAGAAGAGATAATAAAGTTGTTAAATCCTAGATGAATCTAGAAAATTCATGCCAAATTCGGGGATGATTTCTTCAGATCTTGGGAGGAGAAAATGCATTGGAGTGATTCAGAAGCATATCTCCATACGCCCAGTACACTGCTGCTGCTGCAGATGGAAGCTTCAATGTCAGCACACAAAGAATTGGAAGTAAGTAAATGGCCTTGAACTTTTGTGGCTTCCACATTGCGTGCATTATCTCTATGTCCAACACAGACAAATTTAAAAACCCCAATTGATTCTGCATCAACACTCTGCTCGCAATTTAACATTCAATACACACTTTTTGTGGCATGCAAAGAATTTGACAATTTTAATAGCTGAGTCAGTCCTCTTCTTTAAGTCCGTTTATCTTAACTTCTTAGGCTTGAAGTATCATTTCGAAAAAAGATTTTAAGGGTGTCACAAAAAATAATTATTAATAAAAAGAGCTGGAGCCCTCTTCACTATTTATCTCATTACATAAAGAAAACTTGCAGAGTGGTTGGAAAAAGTGTTGGCTTTTCTATACTTGAAAAAGGAAGAATAGGGTTTCCAAGAAAGTAACTTATTTTCTCGGCCCACTATTGAGAAAATATCAAGTTCTTCGGAAAAAAACGGGTCACTAAATAAATACCGGGAACAGTCAGATTCGTGTCGAGGTCAGCCAAGGTTAAGTCCCTTTCATCTCTAAATGACATCGAGACAATTTATTTATCAAATTACTGTTCTACCCTGGTGGACAAAGACCTCAAACAGTCAAACTTGTGTCCAATTGCGTAAATATAAGGTATAGAAGATGTCGTGCACAGTAACGGCATGTCCCCCAAATGTGTAGAGAATGTTTGTGGCTCCTGTGAAATATAGCACCAACTTGGTTGGTCCCGAGTGCATCACACACTCCACCTATTATTAATTAATAAATATTAAATAATATCTCAATTTCGTAAACTTAACCAATGGAGATAGACGGAATTAAACAATTAGTTACCTGTCAGCGTAGGAGTAACACAATAGTGAGGTACCAGGCCGTGTACGTGGTCATTAACAAGCCGAGGAACGACCAATTCGGTAGTTGGGGAAAGAAGGCAGGAATAAAGTAGTTGCACAACATGCTCCAAAGATGTAAGTCCAAGTTCTTTTGTCCAAATTGTCATTTATGCAATATATGTTATTGAATCACAAAGAAAATGTTAGTTTTTTATTTTTTGGTGCCTTATTTATGTGTCAAAAGACTAAATATTTATGCCTTGCACAAGCTATGAGCACAGATCCAAACAGAAGAAAAGTGCAGTTAAATGCCAATCCTATATTTCTCCAGTGTTTTCCAAGAAGCCCATCAAGAACTTCGAGCCACTGTATCAACGTGTTCGGTGTACAGTATTAGATTGGATCGAGACAGTGTAATAACAACATAAAAACTAAGAAAATTGAAAACCTGAATAACATGATTTCTAAAATCAACTTTTTCTCTTTCTTTACTGGTTCTGTACCCTACATAGAGAACACTAATAATATGTGCAGCCCAACTGCCCATTAAACCATAAAAGAGCTGAAAAAGAATCCCAGAGAGCATTCCCAGATGAGAAAATGAGTATGGTAAAGTGAACTGCACTTGAGCCACCTGAAAGCGTACAAGGTGGGATCAAGTTTCATAAGTACGCGTCCGGTGAGTGCAGGCTGAATCTTTTAATGGCATTCGACCACCAATATTTGAGTGACCCAAATGATTGGCTTAAGTGCTTCCAAACAAAAATGGGGTATAAATTCACTGTGAATAGGACATCCCCGATATGAAGCACAGCTAAACCAGGCATCATAAACAGAGCCTCCACGCCAAAAGAAGTTGGAGACTTTAGACTTAATATCTTTCGATTTCCCTTCAGTTTCCATTTCTACATAATTTCCTACTATCACAGTCTCTACTACCTTTCTGAGGATCCCATTTTCTGTACAGGGTTCATTTCAATACAAAATCAATGGAACGTGAACTTTAGGAATAAATGCAAATGGGTTTTTGTTGTAGTTTGTGGGAAGTGTCTTTATATATAGTAAGGGATAATACAACGTGGGGTAAATGAGGAGAATGAATTTGGAAAGAGCTTCGACATTTGTGAAATACTCGGTTGGTTTTCGTGCATAAACTTTGTTCCTTGATTACATCTTTTGTTTTCCAGCAAATAAATTAATTAAATATATTTGCTTGCTAAACTTTTTAAACAATAATTATACAAGCGTGAAGGTTTGTGCACACGTGTGGATTTTCCATTTTCAAGATAAATGTATAATACTTCTTTAGGCCTGTCTGGCTGTGATTTTAAGCTGAATTTGGACCGTTGCTGATCAAAAATTGCACCGTTGGACAATTTTTTAATGGAAATATTCTGACATCTTTGCAGTACAACAACAGGCCATTTACTCTCATTTTTCCAATATTACCCCCGTCATTACACACTCTCAACTGCCAAGATTCTGTCCCCCTTTTCCTCGTAACTTTTTGGCTCAAAGTCAGTGAACGTGTATTCATATGTGGTTGAAAAGTAGTCTTGAAAAAATAAAATGGTTAAAAAAGTGGTTTGAAAAAATGTGAAAAATAAATTTATGGTGAATTTTGCTCGAATTATGGTGAATTTTGGTATTTAACTTGCTCGAAATATGGTGAATTTTGCATCCACTGTTTGAATTGGCAAACTACAAAATTATTTATTAGACAATGCATTTTGGAACTACTTTCAAGCATGGCAAGTTACGATAATACAAGGACATTAAAGTTAAACAAATTGATAAACAAACTTGTTAAATCGTATACAAATTTTGACAAATTTTTGTGCAATATCTTAAGGATACGATTTAAATCGTGTAAAAAAAATTTGTGCAATACCCTTAAGAAAAAAGGAAAAAATTGATCTCATATTTTAAAAAAATAATAATAATAAAAAATAAAAAAAACGAAAGAAAAAAAAAATAAAAACAACTTGTGTCTCCGTGACACGGAGGTAATTGCCTCCGTGTCACGGAGACGTGTTTAACCTTTATGTAATTTTTTTTTTTTTTGGTTTTCCCTTTTTTTTTTTTAAAGTATCATATTTTCTTTATTTTTTTTCTTCTTGGTCATCTGAATTCATGCCTCCCTTTCATATCTATTTTGTTTTTCATCGATATACATAATTTTCATATTTCTAACGTCGTAAATACAAGTTTTTCGAACCAATGGAAAAAAAATATATAACTCCTTTTTTTCTTATTCGTCGTCCGAATTCATGCCTCCCTTTCTTACTATTACTTTTTCCTCTCGATCAATTAATTTTTTAAATAATCTAATAAAAATTTTGACGTCATTTAGAAAATTTCCTTATAAATTAAAATTTTTTTTATCTAGAAACATCATTAAAAAAATTAAGAATTTCGATAACAAGCTAACTTTAAAAATTTATCGACGATTGTACGATAGTCAAATACATAGATCTTTTATATTCTCTCGAAGTTCATGGGCCATTGTGATGTGACTGAAAAATCAATTCTTGTGAAGTAATAATCTCTACCAGACGGGCCCTTAGCTAATCTCTCATTTCTTGATTATTTTTTCTCTTCCAAAACTAGTCTTGCACTTTGGTGTAATGCCCTTTACTTCTTAAATTAGTGGTTAGCTCTGTAATTTTACTTGCATTGTGCTATAAATGTAAACTTTATTTTCGTAAGTAGAGGTAAGAGTCTAGTATCTCTTCGAAACACTCTGTAATTTTAATCGTATTTTCTATAAACTATTGAGCGTTTGTATCTAATCCAGATGGACCAAAAAAGAAGTGCACTATGTTGTATCTCTAAAATGGGAGAAGAGGGTATCAAAATTTTGACATAGGGCCAAATGCATAAATTAAAACTTAAAAGTGATAAAGAAATAGAATATCATGCCAGCTTATTGCAATGATGTGTACTATTGAGAAGAATAAGGCTGTTGAAGGGAGACAAAGGATTGAAAAAGAATAGAGCAATGAGAGGTGAGGAATCATGAGAAAGCAGACCGCATGATTATGGCCAAACGGGCGTGTCACCTTTATGAATAGAAATAAGTTCTTTTATTATTTATTTATTTTTTAATCACATTAGTCAATTTAGGATGCCTCAAATTCTTGAAAGTGTAATTTACATGGATTTATTTAGTGGGCACAGTCGAGAATTATACAAAAGCCCCAATTTGAGAGTTGTTAGATTATGTGCCAACTTTCTTTATTGATATTGTGTTAAATATCTAGAAATTGATTTATTTATTTATTTTCAATTAGTAAAAAATTCGTGATGACAGGTGAGTGTAGCTCAAATATTGAGAATATAATACAATAAATTTGTGCTTTTACACATTTTTATGTATGTGTTTTGGTTCAGAGTTGCTAAGGGACTTTATTCCTAACACAAATAGGGGGGAAAAGAGAGAAAATTATTTAATTAAAAATACTTAACTCCTATTTGGTTTAAATTAAAATCTAAATTTTATTTTAAGTCAAAGTTAATAATTAATTTTAATCATATATTTTCGTAAAATCTACAATTTGTCAATCATATATTTCATCAACTTTTATCAAAATATAATTTTAATCTCCATCGAATACGAGCTTAGCTTAGATTAATCATCTGTAATTCCCTACTCTTACAGCCAAGGACAGCCTTATGGGTCATTATCTCACCTTGCTTCCCTTGAAATTAGTTTCTCTCATGCTATGAATTCTCCTTTGGACTTGGGCAATATCGATCGACATTTCAACTACTTAAATAATGGCTTGTAATTTCATTCTCAATGGTGCCCAAATCTATCGTAACCCAATGATTTTGTTTAATAAAAACTAAAATATATAATTAGGCTAAAGTCAATATGTTATAGTAGTAAAAGCATACTCAAAAGGGTTTGTTTGTGTGGGGAACAACATATTCATGGGATTTGTCGACACCCAACAACTCCTCGTTATGTCAAGCGTCGAGACCAAAAACAGCCCCCTGAATTCTTTGTCCCCTTCGGTTGTGCTATCTGCACAGAGCTTGTACAGGTGCCCACATATGGGGGTGGACCTCACACATGGGGTCCACCCCCATGTGAGAGCCCCTGTACAGGCTCTGTGCAGGAGGTTTTTTCCTTGTCCCCTTTGACTACCTGAGTTAATTTACCATACTCTAATTATCTTGTCCAAGTAAACATTATCGAGTCGGACGATTTGATGACGACGAGACCAACGACTATTCATGGCTACTTTCTAAGATTTTTGAGGTATGATTTAAGTAACTTTAAAAGACTCGGAACAAGTATCATTAAAATTTAGAGTTTGATCAACCCATTTTAACTCCTGAAAATTGAGATAGTTCTTCACTAATTGAGCAAGTTCAATTGCACTCAGTATATTGTGTGCCGTATGAGTCAACAGGTATAGTTAAAAGACTCGGAACAAACGACGTTTAATATTTTTATATTTTTAAAATAATAAAAGTTTCTTCGATGGGTCAATTTTTTTGGTGACAAACTTTACCTGCGTAGGCTTTATGAGTGAATTGAATAAATAGTACTTTTTTTCTTTTTTCATGCCTTGAAATTAGAATGATTCATTAGTAGTACAATGTTCGTCCATTAATAAAACGAAGTGCACCAATTGATATATGGTCAACTGGCCCCAATTACTCATGCAGAATAATTAAATGGAAATCATATTTAAAAATTAGTATGATGAGGAATTGGATTCTTGGTTTGTTTGGTGGGAGGCCTAATTAGTTTCAATAAGAAGGATAGTTGTACCAAGTCATGAATTTGGTATATACAATTTAATTGAAACTGGACATGTCCAGTTGGTTACCAATGTAAAAAGGTAATAACAACAATTATCTCAATTTTTATGTCTATCCTCAATTGTTCCAGATTTTTGACACACAATTAAACAATTTGAGTATGATTTGGGGTGAGAAGAATTTTAAGTGAACGAAACTATCCATCGACGTTAAATTGCTACATACTTGAAATCGCACTCTTCAATAGATTCCCGTATGCATATTGAGTAGATGAAAATTAAAGCAGAGTGAAAAAGTCATCGGAATGACTGGGTGTAAAGGGTTCGTGACTGGTGAATTGTGTTGAAAGTGAAATTCGCAAAAAATTGACAGAATGCTGTTGTATCCAATTTACTTGAGTGAGACGTATGACAGTGGCACACAAATTACAACGTCTAAGACTTACGTCAGAAAAGTATGGAGTATCATAACCTACAATTATCCAAGAGAATCAACCAAGCAGCTCATACCAGTGCAGAAGAAACACTATTACCAGTACAAAACTAAAGGCTACAAATTTGGAATGGATTTAAATTTGGATTTGGACTAATGAATTCCTGGTTAGCAACTACAAAAAAGTAGTCATATGGAAAGTAACCAAGTTCATTATGGCATAATGATATCTGGGAATTGGGTTTGATTCTACTCAACCACAGGACGGGCCTGTAGTAATTGTAGACCCAATAATCTATAATTTATAACCGGTCAAATTATTTTTAATTAAACATTTATGGAATTTTTACAAGTATTACATATTTATTTATTACTTTTATAAATACTGGTCTTGTGTCCATGTAATGCACGGGATTCATTATGTTGAAGTTAACGATAGCGTGTTGAATATTAATGACTGAGGAAGGACGTATATTACACCACATACACATGTATGTAAATTATATTTTATAGAGATATAAGAGTGAATCCAAAATGTGAACAAAGAGGAAGCAACAAATGAAAAATAGCTTGTTACATATTTAAAATCTTCTTTCATATGCCAAGTACCAAGTAAAGTTCACGAAGAAAATTACTGTGTATAAGTTACTTTCGTGTCCATAGAATTAGTAGAAATTAGGATTATAGTGAAAGTAATCTTCACTTTTACTTCATTGATTCAAGCCAGCTAACATGTAATCGAATCAATGTGGCATATTTTTGTTGTGAATTCTGAAGTTATTCCCTCGTGTTGATGATGAGGGTCATCACCTTCCCGATCACACAGACAACTACTTTGGCGATAGAAAATGGAAATTGGTAAATGTTAGTGCCAGTGACAAAGGAAATTGTTAAAAATCATTTTAGGACCAATCAATATAGTCTAGTACAAAAAATAAAATAAATTAAAAAATAAATAAAGGAAAGTGGTAAAACAAAACAATTCTTTAAAAACCAATGCCTGAAACATAAGAAGCAAACGTTTTGGGAACAACAAAGACAGCATGTATACAATTAAGATTCCATTGGAAGAACAAAAAAGCTAAATATGTGGATGCTTTTGACAATTCCGACAATTGTAAAAATATAATAACGGAAATGCATGTCATTGATATAAACAATACATATAGGAATGAAGTCAGGGAGTGTAGGGGATTGGAGGGTTTGATGAGAGGGCGAGGTTCAATTTTGAGGTGGCCGGTGAATCCGACTCTGTATCCCAAAACTTGGTAATGCTCTTGTTCTTCTAGATGATTATTTAGAGTAATAAGAGTTTGTTTGATAGGGATTTTGAGAATTGATTTTTTGACAGTTGGAGAGAAAGTGGATCCTACTTGTAAGAGAAATGATAAAAAATGATGGCCTGAATAATGAAATAACGGTCAAAAAATTAATTTTTTAGGGTGAAAAATCAATACCAAGCACCCCCTATATCTACCAATATTCCTATTTATTTCATAAAAAAAATGAAATTAAAATTAAAATTAAAATCCCAAAAGTAAAATAAAAGGCATACCCATCGCTTTCTCTAGGAGCTGTGCTAAATGGGAAATAATTTGTTATTTGCTGTTGGATTCCCTCTGGAGGAAATAAAATCATTAAAATTTCACCAATATGTGCAGTGTAATCGGATAAAACTAGAAATTCTTCTTATTGGTCGCACTTTTATGAGAACCTCATAGTTCGATTGTGCGGCCAAAATGAAAAATATTCACTTCGTCTTTATTTTTTTCATATTTCCTTTTCTTTACTTTTTTAGTATTTTCTTAACATTATGCTCAATGCTTGTATAAAAATTTTGACACAGTACTTTCTGTTAAGCCTCTAAATGAATAGCGTCATCTGTTATCTTTCATATTTCGTTCTAATATACTGATTTTTGTTCCGTGTCTTGAAATATTTGTCTTTTCAGTGTTCTGGAAAATATTGACTTATAAACTAATAATACTATAACTAATTAAGAACTTGGATGGTTGATCTGATGTATTTAGTGCAGGATCCTATAATGATTAAAATAATAATAATAATAATAATTGAGGTTTTCAAAATCTATCGTGTTGTTTAGGAATATGGTGGACATGATATATCCAGGATGAATAATTCTACTCAAAACAATTGGCACCCTGTCACGGCCCTTGTCAGAGTAGCAAGCCCCATCCTGTATTGTGAATAGGAATCTAGGACTTCAAAGTTTGTATCCCTGATTGATGGTCTATTTCTGCGAGTGCAGGCTGGGTTTAGACAAAAACCATCTGGTTTAGTCCAAGTGAGATTGAATTCTAGGCCTGGGCCATGATATCAGTCTAGCCTAAGTGATAGTTATTATCATGATGTTCTGCTTTCATGTTTTGACCTCAGTTTTCAAGTAGCCAACATATTCCAACGCCACTCCCATTCACATGTTAAACCCACGTAAAGTTGGACAAACGTTAAGCGCACGTGGCCTTCTCCAATGGTGGGAGAGGTGATCTTGGTTATCTATCAAATCTGAATGCAGCATGGTTATTTGTCTGTCCTTCCACCACCGCAAGTTGCCACTACTTCAAGAGGGTGTCAACAATGTTATCAGCCAGAAGGTTTTGAACATTGTTGTCTGTTAGGCACATCTGGTAACACCCATAAGAATGTAATTCTATCCAAAGCATAATTCCATTGATTGAAAGATATGAAAAACCTTCTCTCAACACAGCGTCCAAATATTTTAACAAAAATGATTCAGCATTGACTTGAATGCAAATCTATTGCCTGGACAGTTCTATATGTCAATTTGAGTACAAAAGTCATTAAGTATTTCTTTTCTGACCTGCGTTTCTTGATTTAGTTTTTGGCTGATATCAACCTCTGTGAGCTAAAAGGGAAGTCCTAGGGTAGCCAATTTGTCTATCACTGCTCTGATTAGAGGGAGGTTTGGTATAGTAAAATGGTCCTCGAGGCCAGTTCCATCCAATATACGCTCCACCTTTCCCAAGTTCTCCTAACCTTTAAATGTAATCATCGACTGTAAATTTATGATAATTGCTCACATTGAATTTGTGCATTAGGACCAAGTATTTGTGATGCAGTACCAATAGGAAAATTAAATGCACAATGAGAAGACCAATTAACAGGAAGAAGAAATTAGGGGGGAAGGATGAAAGAAGAAGAAGAAGAAGAATCAATAGAAGGAGAAGAATAATGGGAGAAGAGAGAAAACTTTCGCCACAAGCCACCAATAATTTATTCAATCATCAACTGAAAATAAATTACAATGCAAAGTAGTTTAAATAGTAAAAACCTAAACCCTAACTAGATTGGGCTTGGGCCAATATAAGCCCAATAAGGATCCAAAACAAAATAAAGTCCACAAAATGAAATAAGGTCCAACTAGAAATAAATAAAAATGACTGGATGTCCTCATCAACTCTCCCGGGGTGGGAGAAAACTCGACCCTATCGAGTTGATAACTCATTAGATTGCGGTCAATCTCCCAACTGTAAGCTGAGTGGTTGGGCAAACTTCTTTCGACGCCTGTAGAAATGTGTCAATAGAGGTCTGAATTTGGTGTCCTCACCAACCCCCTGAGTAGACGGGAGGCGATTTGGGCCAAGGAAGATTCTGCTGACTCCGATAAAACCCCAACAAATCTGGATCCAATTGTTGGAGTGTCTTTCTAAAGATCCATGTACAATCAGAATCTAGTCGATCAACCCAACGAACTAGGAAGCGTTGAACCTCTCTATCAGTAGTTAACACAATTTCTTCACTAAAATAGCATCAATTTTATCTTTGCGTGCTGTGAGAGGTGGTAGTGGGTTAGAAGCGGCCAAATAATCAAGATCAAGGTTCACAAAAGGAGGTAACAAAGGATTATCTCAGGGAATGAAATGACCTTTATAAACAACTAGGTCATCAATATTGAAAGTAGAGTGGTAACCAATGTGTGGTAGAATGTCAACAATGTATGCATTTGGACCAACTTGCATTAAAATTTTAAAAGGATCAGCACTATGGGATTGCAATTTGGAGATGTGTCCATGTAAACGCCGCTCTGGTCTATGCGGACCATAACGTAATCCCATTGTTAAACTCAACATGTAGTTTATATAAATTAGCTTGGAGTTTATATTTTGCATTACTGGCTTCAAATTGTTTATGGATCTCAATATGCAAATCATGAAGATGTTGTGCAAATGTTTCAGCTGACATTGACACTCTAGCCTGTGGGGACATAGGAATGAGATCTAACGACTTCCTAAGCTTATACCTATGAACAACTTCAAATGGACTCATACCCAATGAATAATTCATAGAAATTTTATATGCAATTTGAGCTACAGGAAGGATCAAATCCCAATTTTGAAGACTTTTCTGTACCAAACAACGTAATAAGTTACCAAGACTTGGATTAACTACTTCAGTTTGACCATCAGTCTGAGGGTGGTAGGTTGTAGAAAATTTCAATTTGGTACCCATCTTTTGCCACAAAGTCCTCCAAAAATGGCTAATGAAACGAACACCCCTATCGGACACAATGGTCTTAGGAAGCCCATGCAATTTGACAATCTCATTAAAGAACAACATGGCAATCTTGGACGCATCTGAGATCTTGCTACAGGGGATAAAATGAACCATTTTCGAAAAATGATCGACAACCACAAAAATAGAATCATGTTTTTTGGGGTGCGTGGAAGTCCAAATACAAAATCCATACTAACATCTCGCCAAGGACAATTGGGGACGGGAAGAAGAGTGTATAGGCCTGTGTTTTGCCTCTTTTGTTTAGCCAATTAACAAGTGTTATATATACTAACAATTTTAGCCACATCTTTCTTCAAACTAGGTCAATATAATTGGCGTTCAACTTCCTCTATGATTTTATCATGCCCAAAGTGATCGGTCTAAACCTCCCGCATGAATTTCTCGCACTATGAAATCTCGCACTGAAGTTCGAGGGATGCACAATTTATTAGCTTTAAAGAGATAACCCTCCATAAGTCGGAAGCCATTTGTGGTATTTGATTGTCCCCCTTGCAAATCAAGAAAGATATCTTTAAAATCGGGACATACCTCGTAATCCTCATTAAGCTTTTCAAAATCGATGACCTTGACACTCATGATCGACAAAAGGAAGACACAACGACTTAATGCATCAGCTGCTTGGTTCTCCATGCCCTTCTCGTGTTTTAAGACAAATGAATAGGCCTGCAAATATTCAATCCAATGACCATCCCTATAGCTTAATCTTTTCTGGGATTGAGGTAACAGAGGGCCTCGTGGTTCGAATAAAGGACAAACTCTTGGGACAACAAATAGTGACACCAATAGCGTAAAGCCTGGACCACCGCATATAGTTCTTTATCATAAGTTGAGTACTGTTGTTTGGCCTCATTTAACTTCTCACTGAAGTAGGCAACATGATGACGATCTTGACTCAGGACTCCGCCAATACCTACTCCGGACGCATCACACTCGACCTCAAAGACTTTGAAAAAATCGGGAAGACGTATGACATGAGCTTCTGTCATTCACTTTTTGATCAACTTAAAGGCCTTAGCAGCTTCTTGTGTCCAATAAAACTCCTCTTTCTTCATGCACTCCGTAATAGGCGCCATAATAGTGCTAAACCCCTTGATAAAGTGACGGTAAAATGTAGTTAAGCCGTGAAAGCTCCTAACGTCATGAATAGTCTTAGTTTCAGGCTAGTCAAAAATCGCCTGAACCTTGGCAGGGTCAGTAGATACCCCTATCGAAAAGATAATGAATCCTAGGAAGACGATTGTATCGGTGAAGAAAAAGCACTTCTTGACATTAGCATACATGTTAGTTACATGTAGAGTAGAACAAACTTGTGCGAGATGATCACGGTGTTGCTCTTCAGTCTTATTATAGATGCAAATATCATCAAAGTGGACAACAAGAAACTTTCCCATGAAAGGTCGAAGGGTTTGTGTCATTACCCGCATAAAGGTAACCAGCGCGTTGCTTAGCCCAGAAGGTATGACCAGCCACTCATAAAGACCATCTTTCGTTTTAAAGACAGTCTTCCACTCATCACCTGGGCAGATTCTAATCTGATCGTATCCGCTCTTCAGATCAATCTTCGAAAAGATTGTAGCACCAACCATCATATCTAGCATATCGTCAAGCCTAGGAATGGAAAAACGAAACTTCATCGTGATCCTATTGATAGCACGACTATCCACACACATTCTCCAAGATCCATCCTTTTTAAGAGTTAATAGGGCTGGGACTGCACACGGGCTTAAACTCTTACGAATGAATCCTTTGTGAAGGAGTTATTCTACTTGCCTCTGGAGTTCAGCGTGCTCCGTAGGATTCATCCTATAATGAGGCAAATTTGGAAGGGACGCCCCCGAGATGAAATCTATGGCATGTTGAATGTCCCATAGAAGAGGTAGATGATTAGGTAGGTCCTTTGGAAAGACATCTTGAAACTCTTGAAGGAACGACTAAACTTCAGTACGGCTCTCTGTCGTGTAGTTAGATGAAACCTCCATAACAACCAAAGCGAACACAATTGAGTCACCAACAACTGTACGCTCAAACTCTATAGGACTAATGATATGCAATCCCTTTTGTCCCACACTTTTCTTTGTTTCGTGTGAGCCAACAGATTTTGGGGGCAGTGGGTTAAGGTGAATCTTATTTTCATTAAACACGAAAGAGCAGGAATTGGATCAACCATAGATGGTTACATCTAGGTCAAATAACCAAGGTCGTTCCAAGATGATGTGCTCGACATCCATTGAAATGACGTCACACCATATGTGGTCCTTATTATTGAGGAACTGGATAGGGACTAGACAACGTTGCTTGACAGCTATAGAAGAAGTATCAACCTAGGAGATGTTATACGGTTGAGGGTGAGGAACTGACTTCAACCTTAGGCGGGATACAGTAGCCATCGAGACCGCATTAATGCAACTGCCACTATCCACAATAACTTTACAGCTCTTGTTATTGATCTTGATGTACATGTGGAAGATGGCATAATGACACCAATCATCGGCATCCCTAGGCTGGGTAAGACTGCAATAGACAACACCGACTCTAGGCGTATGTGGGATAAGGGGACTAATCCGAACACAACCTAAGAAGGCATCTTCACTATCCTCCAAGTCATCAAACTCTTTCAACTTAGATTCATAAACCTGGTACTCTAATGGTTCGTCAATTATACCTTCACGCTCTTCCATAACTAGGGCTCGGCTACGACACTCAGAAGAAATGTGACCAAAACCTTTACAGTTGAAGCATTGTGAACGGGAGGATGTCCTTGAAACCTTAGGACCATTACCTTTACTATCCGATGCAGGGATAGCATTAGAAGGAGGAGGCGCTAGAATAGACTTAGGTAATGAAGTGGATGCAGAAGAGGTTGCAGTGCGGGTGTCACTACGAGTCTTATACGGTTTCCAAGTAACTAATGCGTAATCCCGAACAAAAGAGTAGGCATGATCAAGAGTGGTGATGCCTCTAAGGACAAGCTCACGTCTAAGATCATCCCTTAGGCCTTACCTAAATCTACTCAAGGTCATGATCTTATCCTCAACGACCTAACATCTCATTCAAAACTCATCAAACTAAGCAATGTATTCGATCACAGGTCGATTGCCTTGCGTAAGTGCATTCTATTGATCCAGCAAGTTGCCCCTGTAAGATTGAGGTAAATACTTTTCTTGAAGGTGACATTTCATTTCATCCCAGCTCCCAACAAAGAGAGCGTGAAGTCTCACTAGGAGGTCCTCAATTCTTTTCCAAAAGAGTTGAGCAGTGTCAGTTAATTTCAAACTGGAAAATTGTACCCTACAATCTTTTGGGACCCCATACTAGGCGAAAAAGTGATCCATATCTCTAACCAATTAAAATGTAGGGGCATCTAACTTAATGTTTCGAAAGAGACGCTCCTCGTGGCGAGGGAGAGACTTGGTACCATGACGGTGATATTCTCGCTCTCATCTACGAGCCTGATTTTCATCCCTATGACCATGTCCAGCATGGTGTTGACCACCTTGTGGACGACGATGAGGTCTATTAATGGAAGCTTCAGAGTTTTCAGCTTCAGTAAAATATGGGGTTAGATCAAGAGTGTTCAACCTAGCGGCTAGGGCTCTATTCTCCTTACAAGTAGCATCTATCTCAGTTTGGATAGCCGTTAATTGATTTTGTAATTGTGCCAACAGTCAGGTGAGGGCCTCAATTTGGGACAGATCCATGCAAGGGTATTAGAACTAGAGGTAGTCACGCGACCACTACGCAAATTCATACAAAGTAACGCTTAGCTAATTGAAGTGCACTACTGATATCAACAAACAACAAGTGGCAACAGGGAAAATAGCAATTTGAGTTTTTTTTATTTTTTTATTTTATTTATTTTATTAACTTAAAAATGGGATTACTTAAATCCGAGCGTAGCAAGCTAATAATGTTGATGTAAATAAAATAAAAAGCAAGAGTATAAATGACTAAACAAAAGGTCGAATCATGTTGGGTAATCGTGGGCACAATGGGAGTTGATACATGAATTGCGAACAAGTAGGGTTTAAAGCTAACATTATCAAAGTAGTAGCAACACAAAGAATTAATTGATGCAATTCTAAATAAAGTAGTAGTGTCAACTAATAATGAATAGAGGTCAAGAACTCCCTATTGTTTAGTTGCTCGAGTTGCGATGCTTGGAACCCCTTGTGCTTGCGTCTTTTCCTTCTTGTCAATTGTCGTCAACTCTTGAAATCACTCCTAGTTAGAATTACCTAACTTTTCTATGTTGGTGAGGGGATATAGTATAGAAATAGTGGGCTGAGTATGAAACTGAAGCTGCAACAATGTATTCAAATACAAGTTTGGGCTTCTCTCTCCTTTTTATTTTTATTTTTTTATTTTTTTGAATTGGCTTGTTGGTGATTGGCCAAAGCTTGTTGGCTTGGTTGAGTATATGTGATACAAAGAGTCTAAAGGTTAATAGGTGATAGTTCCAACAAGATTGTAGGAGTTGGCGATTGATGTACGAGATATAAATTGGCGAGGTTAGTGAAGGCAGTGGGATAGAGAATGGCTATGGCGGTGGAACGAGTCGACGATGGGGTGGTTGAATGAGTCGACAGAGACGCGGTGCTGTCTTGGGACTTGAGCGAGAATTGAAGGGGATAGTTTTGACCTTGGCGGAAGTCTGGTCTGCCGGTAATAGATGACAGTGAATGATGATCGGCTGATGGTGAGTGTCGAGTGACAGCTTGGAAGTCGCGACAATGGTGAAGTTAGAGAAGATGAAGTAAATGGGTTGTAGTGATTGTTTGTGACCTTAGGCTGGGATGTGATTGGGTCAATTTATTTTATTGAAATTTGAATTGGGATTGGGCCGGGAGGAATTAGGTTTAGACAAAGACGAGCTTAGTGTGGTGAATGGGCTGAATTAGAGGATGGAAGGTCAATGGGTAGTGGGTTGGAATTGGGCTGAATATCTTGGACTAGGGTTGAATTTGTGGGGAGAAAATTTATGGAACAAAATATTTTTTTACCTAGTAGCAGCAGCAGCAGCCGACCTTTTTGTTTTTGTTTTTTTTAAGCTGAAAATACTAAAATATAATTTTTTTGGATGTGAATAGTACCCGTGAACAATAACAAGAATTTTTTTTAATGCGGAAAATACTTAAATATATTTTTTTTGAGTGTGAATAGAACCGATGAACAGTAACACGATTTTTTTTCAACAAGGACAGAGAACTAAAAAAATGAAAAATGTTGCTTTTTACATTAAATCTTTTTCAATTATGCTGTTCCAACAAAACTTGGGAAGAAAATAAGAAGGAATTTTGAATTGTATGGGAGGAAATACCCAAAATTCAGCTCTAATACCAAATTTGATGCAGCACCAATAGGAAAATTAAATGCAGAATGAGAAGACCAATTAACAGGAAGAAGAAATCAGGGGTAGGGATGAAAGAAGAAGAATAATAATAGGGGAAGAGAAAAAGCTTTCGCCACAAGCCACTAATAATTTTATTCAATCATCAACTGAAAATAAATTACAAAGTCCACAAAATGAAATAAGGTCCAACTAGAAATAAATAAAAATGACCGGATGTCCTCATCAATTTATTTGTAGAAATCGTTAAAATTTGATCCTCATCCTCCACAATCATATGTAATTGATCTGTCTTAAGTTTCGAAAGTTTGCAACTTAGTCCTCGAACTTTTCAAATGTTGAATTTCACTTCTAAGAGTTTCCTTCAATTGCTCTGGTATTAGTTGGTTGTAAAACGTTGAATAAATATATTCGCCAATAAGTTTACAGTTCAGAGAAATAAATTTGGATGACTAAGAGAGATAACGTGCTGTATTTATAAATAAGAGAATGTTACATGTACATAACTATTTACACATGACCTTTGCCTTCCCCCCCCCACCATGTGAGGGGGGTATAAGACTGTGTGTATACCTTGAAGTGTACACATAACATTATTCTTATAAATAAGAGAGAAGTTAATGAGACTGAAACAAAAGA